GACCCACCTTTACCTGCTGCCCTCACTGATACAGCAGAGCTGGTAACCTCAGCCGTGCTTTTCCAGCCAAGGGACTTGCTGGGCCCAGCCAGGGCCACGGACCAAGTTCCCTGGGCCCCAGCTGTGACCTGGCTGGGTGGCCATGGCTGTGGCCTGGGCCGTGGATGAGGCACGAGCTGGGGGTTGGGTCACAGCTGGAGGCCACCACGGGCTCTTGGGCACGAGGTGGTGCTTCTGCCACAGGCCTGGTGCTTTCCCTCCTTGAGCCAAGCTCAGGCTGTGGGAGCAGCCCCAAGGGACTTCCTACAAGAGCAGGGAGTGGCAGGACAAGGGGAAGTGGGTTCAGACTTTCAGAGGGCAGGGTTAGATGGGATATTGGGAAGGAATTGTTGGCTGTGAGGGTGAGGAGATCCTGGCCCAGTTGCCCAGAGAAGCTGTGGCTGCCCCTGGATCCCTGGAAGTGTCCAAGGCCAGGTTGGACAGGTCTAGTGGAAGGTGTCCCTGCCCATGGCAAGGGGTTGGAATGAGAGGAGCTTTAAGGTCCCTTTCCAGAACCATCCCACGATTCTGTGATTATCCACGTCCCAGCTTGTGGGGTCAGTCAGCCTCTGCCCAGTGCCAGTGGGCAGCGAGCAGGGCCCTGGCTTACCCTGCCAAGAGACTTGGGGGTCTGTCACCCCCTTGGTGCCTGTCCCTCCCGTGCCAGCGCCGCGTCCCTGTGCCCGCAGGTCCCTTCAGGTTCGCCGACTCCTATGGAGCCCGGCAGCTGGTGGACAAGCTGCGCAAGTACGAGGCCGTCTACGGCAGCCAGTTCACGCCGTGCCAGCTGCTGCTGGACCACGCCAACAACCCCGGCAAGAAATTCCACCAGTGAGGGACCCGGTGACGCGCCCACAGCTCCCCGGGGCCGCCCCAGCGCTCCCGACACCCCGTTGTCCATAGGTTAATCTCCAAAGCCCCGGGGGAGGAAGGGGAGGAGGGAGGGGGGCACCAGGCTGCCTCATGGCTTGTAGTCATTTCAAGTGCCTTATCAGCCACTTTGTGTTGGGCACCTCCGTCCCGTGCCAGCCTGGGCCAGCCTCTCCGTGCTGGAGAGGGGATTTCTGCTGCCTTCGCCTCCATGCTGCGGCCTCCAGAGCTCCCAGTCTGGCCAGTAGCATCCAGCACGTGGCTGGAGCCGAGGCCTTGCCTTTCCATAGACATCTACCAAAATAAAGCCCCGTCTCCTGGGTTTGGACTCCATGCCTGCTTCTCCTCCCGTGTCCCTGGGCAGCACCGAGGGAGAAGAGTCGGGAATGAAAGCATCCAGGCACTGCCCTGGGATCCCCTCCCACGGAGGGGCTGCAGGGCTCACAGAGGGGCTGTCGGAGGGGCAGGTTGGCAGCAGAGCAGGGTGGCAGCTCTGTCACCTCTTCCATCACTCGGGGGCTGTGAGGAGCCTCTGGCTCTGTCTGGCCCTGAGTGCTGCCATGGGCGATCCCGGCGGGTGATCCCGGCAGATGGACCCGCCTGTAATTGCAGATCGAGCAGCCAAAGGCCAGAAGGGTCCCCCGTGGGGAGAGCTCAAGTTAAACTAAAAGGTTTTAAATCTCTGGGCACCTGTCACTGGCCCATCCCCCCTTCCATCCCTGGCTTCCTTTCCAGCTTCCAGCCGTTCTCCTGCGTCGTGGCAGGGCTGGGCCCGGGAGGGGCTGCTCTGCCTCTCTGCTTGTTTCTCAAAGCCCCAGGGCAAAACAGCTCCACGAGTAACATCTTCCCTTGAAGGGGCACGAGTCCCTTCCCAGGTGGGAAGGGTCTGCAAGGATGGGAGAGACTCCCAGAGCCTCCCTCCCCACCTGTGCCCCCTTTCCCTCTTCCCCAAGCAAGGGCCTTCTCCAGCAGCTCGTTACTCCCGTACGTTTATTGTGCTAATCCACAAGGATTAAGTTAAACCAGTCAACGCAAAATCCAGTGTTTTCCAGCCCGTTGGGGCCAAAATTACTGTCCAGTGTTAAAATGGGAAGGGGGGAGGGCTGGGCAATGGGGCCGAGCTTCTGGGGGAGGGGAACCCCCTGACGCCGCCCCATCGGAGCAGGGACGGGAACGGGKTGAGGTCCAGGCGCCTCGGGGACCTCCCGGGGCAGGGGGTCCCCAGC